AAGGATTGAACTCACAACCCTGGGTTTAGCAGGCCAATGCTCAAACCACTGAGTTTTCCTTCCCCACCCCCCGGAGGGGTTTGTTTACTGGGAGGGAATGGAGTTGAGCCACTGTCCTCAGTCGCTTGTCCTTGTGTCGGAGGCTTCCTGCCTATGAAACAAACAGGATCTGACTGGAACACACTGCCTAGTACAAACCACATGGAAACAAGTTCTTAAAAAGCAGGGACCATACAAACAAAGGCCTTCAGTTATTCTCAACCTGCCAAAAAGCCATAGCCCTGCAGTATTAACTCTGCCAGCACTCACTACCAAGGGGAGGTTAATTCCAACAAAATTCCTGGTGACACTGTTTGTTTGAGGATGAAGCAAAAATACCAGATGCTACATCCCACTATGCCTCCAGGGCATAATGTACTAGCTGAGGAATGTTAGCCTTGGGCCCAGCCTCTAGAGAAGGGTCCCATGCTGCTTACCAGTTAAGGGAGATCTTTAGCCCAAACAATAAAGGTTTTTGGTAGCAGAGGGATCTGAATTCTTGACCCTTCTGCCTCTGTGTAAGTTTTATATAGACATGTCTCTGCAGTATATGAACTTGAGTGCCTGCTTATCCACAATATGTTGTTAGCACACACATCAATGGAGTCTAACTCACACTAGACTGGTTTACGATGACTTGCTGTGATGATTTCTACAAAAGACCATCCTACACAAGCCTGCCGATTGCCTGATCATCTTCGCTATTGATACGGCCAGGAGAAAAACCTGAAATGATGCAGAACCAGTTCTTTGGAGATCCTCCATTGCTCAATGGTTGTACTGGAAGCTGTTACAATGTGTCTTACGTGACAACCTTTCTCAGCCCTACATTTCTATGATTCTATACCAGTAAGGAAAGAGTGTCTATTGCCCATCTTTATAGCTAATAAATCTCTCTTCCCTCTGAATTGACAGGAGAGCTATGCCCAAGCAGCATCGGATGCTTCTAGAGGTAAGCAGAAAGAGAGCTCTAAAACATGGGATTTGAGTCTTACTACAGGCATTTGCTCCTCCATCTAGTCTGTTCTCAGATCTGGTTTTATGTCCGCTTTAAAAAAAAAAAGTTTGAGTTTAACTGATTTTATTATTTGTTTGGTGTTAGGGTTTGCGTAAATGAAAAGGTAAATACAAAAAGGGTATCCCATAATTAACTATCTATTGTACTCCTGTAGCTTTACTGTTTGGTGTAGTTCAAGAAATTAACTATACAATTGTTTTGCTTAGAATGTTAAATACCAGGATTCTATACTAGTTCATATAAAGTTCATCCTCTTAACTTTACAATGAAATGAGCATCCCTGTTCCATGTGCTCACAGAATGGGGAGTGCTGGAGAACAAGAACACAGGTATCCGCTCTGCGTGTCCATTGTGCTTAAAGGGGGATGAAAGTTTTCTACACTGATAAACGTGTCCTTAAAAACTGAAGGTTAAAAAGATCCCAAACGTCAGTGAAGGCACTCTCATTAGGAAAGGGATGGATAATAAGACAGTAAATATCATAATGCCACTATATAAATCCATAGTACGCCCACATCTTGAATACTGTGTGCAGTTCTGGTCACCCCATTTGAAAAAAGATATATTAGAATTAGAAAAGGTACAGAGAAGGGCAACAGAAATTATTAGGGGTCCGAAACAGCTGCCATATGAGGAGAGATTGAAAAGACTGGGACTTTTCAGCTTGAACAACTAAGGGGATGTTCTGATAGAGGTCTATAAAATCATGAATGGTGTTAGAGAAAGTGAATAGGGAAGTGGTGTTTACTCCTTCACATAACATAGGAACCAGGGATCACCTGATGAAATTAATTGGCAGCAAGTTTAAAACAAACAAAAGGAACTACTACTTCACACAATGCTCAGTCAACCTGTGGAACTCATTGCCAGGGGATGTTGTGAAGGACAAAACTATATTGGGGTTCAAAAAGAACTAGATAAGTTCCTGGCGGATCGCTATTAGCCAAGATGGTCAGGGGTGAAACCCCATGCTCTGGGTATCCCTAATCTCTGACCACCAGAAGCTGGGACTGGATGACAGGGGATGGATCACTCAATGATCATCTGTTCTGTTCATTCCCCCTGAAGCACCTGCCATTGGCCACTGTCAGAAGATAGGATACTGGGCTCGATGGACCATTGGTCTGACTCAGAATGGACTTTTTTTTACTTTGTTGCGTTTTCCCTATAAGTTCACTGAATGGATTTGCCAGAGAGTCGTTCTGTAAAAAGCAACAGAGCCCTAATAGGGGGGGGGGAAATCTCTTCCCTAGACAAAAATCCATGTTCAAGTGTCAGTGTGGATCCCACTCTAGGTATGTGTGAGCCTCACGCACGCAACATCTGAATCTTTTGAATAGCAGTGTCCACTGGGCTACGTCTGTGCCACGCATGTCCTCATGGTTCCCCACCCCCCAAATCCAAGGACATCAAGGGCATGGTGACCACTACTGTCCCTCTGTTCCCTCTTTCCACCCGTGGCAGTGAGACGGAATTAGAGATGTTTGACCCACTATCTCTTAGCCCTTTTTTCTCTGATTCTGAGTCCGATTGGAATCCGTTTTCTCCCCCCTTATTATTTTTCTCCTTTTAATTCAGAATCACTAAACCTTGGGCTATAGTCCACGAAAGCTTATGCTCTAATAAATTTGTTAGTCTCTAAGGTGCCACAAGTCCTCCTGTTCTTCTTTTTGCAGATACAGACTAACACGGCTGCTACTCTGAAACTAAACCTTTTGTTTCGCTTGGTGCCTGTGGGCTCTAAGCCTTGCCTGTCTTGCAGTGGCTTAATCCCTTTCATTGACTGCCACAACTGTTGTCTTTTTTGCCTTTATTGTGAGTCTAGCTAACTTAGGTACTTATAAAGTGCCCATCATCATAGTACTTGAGCAGCTCGCAATCTGTGGGTATTTATCCTCACAACTGCCCTGTGAGGCTGGGCTACACTGTCATCCCCGTTTCACAGATGGGGAACTGAGGCACAAAGAGACTAAGTGACTTGCCTAAGGTCACACAGGGAGTCTGTGGCATGGCAGGGAATGGAATCCAGGTCTCAAGTCCTAGGCTAATCTCCTAACCACTGGGCCATATTCCAGACTGGCGTTCTGTTCGCTGAACAGTCTCTCCATGGACGTGGGATTATGGGGACGCCTGCCTTGAGCTTCACCTGATGGACAAATGCATGCAGGCAACCTCGGACCCAGATGAGAGAAGATCGACCTCTGATCAGGTCCCTGTAAAGTCCTCCCCTACGAGTGCCCCGACCAGCTGGCATGACTCCAAAGACCAGTATGGACTGGAACTCTGTGTCAAATAAAGACTTGGCACTGACGACCACTCCAGTACCAGCAATGTCCGTATGGAACCTGGTGCTCTCTCTTCCCATGGTATAAAGATCCTTGAAGGGATTGTTGCACACTGACCCACCCGTCTGAGAACCCCCTCCTGCCTGGGATCTCAACATCGTTCTTGCAAGAGCTGCTTTTGGGATGCTCTTTATACCCCCCTTCCCTCAAGGCTCCTCTTAGCTGCAATCACGTTGGCTAGAAGGGTCAGTGAACGCCGAGCTCTTATGGCTGAACCCCCTTGTGCAACAGAGTTTTGAGACCTCCTCTGAGACTTAAGCCTAACGTGGTCTCAGCGTTCCATTTGCACAGTCTCCTCCCTTACCTGTATTCTCCCAAATTCCCATTCTGCGCCTGGGGAGAAGAAACTCCACACTCGGGACATTCAGGGACTTTATTATTCTATATTGGTATGTTAAAGCCCTTCAGACTGTATTCTCATCTCTTGGTGGCCCTCTCCTCCCAGCGGATATCAAAATGGATCACACAGTGCCTATCAATCAGTTACCAAATGGCCAATGGACCCCTCAGTCCACCAGAGCACAAACTACCTCCTCTGCCAGCTTCAGGAACATGCAAAATTGGAAATCTGTAAGGGAGCTCTGGGAAGTAACTCCCTGATGTTCGTTAAGCACTGTGCCCTGGAACGGGCTACAAGGTCAGGTGCCACGTTCGAGAGCAGTATTACCATCCCTGGTAGGTCAGATCAGTCTGGATGACTCAACCCCACCTTCCAGGTGGGATGCAGGTTGTCAGTCACCTAAAGTGGGTTCCACACGGACATAGATTCATAGGCTTTAAAGTCAGAAGGGACCCTCATGATCCTCTAGTCTGACCTCTTGCACGTTGCAGCCACAGAGCCTCACCCACCCACTCCTGTAAGAGACCCCTAACCTCTAGCTGAGTTACTGAAGTCCTCAGATCGTGGTTTAAAGACTTTGAGTTACAAAAAATCCACCACTTACACTAGTTTAAACCGGCAAGTGAGCTGTGCCCCAGGCTGCAGAAGAAGGCAAAAAAAAAAACAACAACCCAGAGTCTCTGCCAATCTGACCCGGGGGGAAATTCCTTCCTGACCCCAAATCTGGCAATCAGTTAAACCCTGAACATGTGGGCAAGACCCACCAGGCATCTTAAAGAATCAATGACTAAGTCACTGCTCTTAGGAGCATCATTTCATGTTTTTGGAAACCAATATACAGATTGCATTTGACTGTGTCAGCTATCAGCTAGGATAGAGGTTTATTGAAGAAACAGGGTAACTGAGTGCCTTGTACCTTCGTTACTGTCTTAGTGAATCCTCTGTATGCGGCTGGACTTTGAAGCAAATGTTGATGCCTTTTTGTACTTGATCCCTTTCCTAGCGATTGACATCAATGCTTCGGATATTAAGGCCCTGTACAGGCGCAGCCAGGCTCTGGAGAGCCTGGGGAAGTTGGACCAAGCCTTCAAAGACGTCCAGAGGTGTGCCACCATTGAGCCCCGCAACAAAAACTTCCAGGAGACCCTGAGGCGTCTGGGAGCCAAGATTCAGGAAAAGGTAAATGCCTTTGCAGCAGCACCAAATGCTTGGGCGGTGCACACACAGCTTTGCATCCAGGTGTATTGACGCTGAAGATGTGCCACTGTACTCCGGAGCAAGCGTATCCGCCGAGTGTAGCTGGTAAATGTCGCTCAGAGGGCTGGAAGATGACATGCCATGTGTTCAAAGGCCTGCACTCCACGCAGAGAGAGCAGCTTATGGGCTGACTCTCTGGGCTGCAGAGGTGGAAAGAGACATTTCAAAAGTAAAAACCAAAGTCCGTGTGCAGTTGAAGGTGATATAACAGACCGTTTAAAATATCGCAGTTTGAGAGAGATGGGTGCAGCCTAAACAGAAATGGGGGAACTCGGCCTCGGGTTTCTGCCCTTGTGCCTAACACGTGATGTTCTTTCATCCCTCTACAGCTGCACGTTCAGTTCTCCACCGATGCCAGGGTGCAGAACATGTTTGAAATCCTGCTGGATGGGAACAGTGAGAAAGAGAAGCGAGAGAAGGTGAGACTTAAAAGGCGGCTGGGGAGATGACTGATATTAACGTTGTCAGACTTCAAAGCCCACAGTCAGGAGCAGAAGTCTTCCTTGCCCTCCTGTGAGCATTTGGACTCTCACCTGCAGCGCCTCCTGCTGGTCTCCCAGGGAATTAGCTCCATTTCCAGCCCAGAGCGCCCCCTGCAGGCCGGTGATCCACCACAGCTTGGCCCCCGTGTCCCTCCCAGACTCCAATGCCCATTTTCTCTGGGGTGCTGCCCCCTGGCAATACCCCAACAATCTCTGTGGCTCTCCCTTCCCCGGGGAGCTCCCACCCACTCCCCCCACCTTGCCTCAGTCTAGGCTACTGCCAGTCCTTACCTAGCCCCTGCTCACGGGGGCAGACTGCAGTTGTATAAAAGCCACTCATCACAAGCAAGGGGGGTTTGACCTGCTGCCGCCTTCTACCACCCAGTACCTCTATGGGCCTGGGACCAGGCCCTACAGCCTGGGGAGTAGCCAGGTTGGAGCTCCCCTGGCTTTTCCAAAGCCCTGTCTCACTCCTAGGTACCTCTCCCCCGTCCAGCAGCCAGGCCTGTCTCCCTCCACAGCTAGAGGAGAGACTGCTGCCCTGGCCCTCTTATAAGGCCCGGTTAGTCTGTTTGGGGCGTGGCTCCAGCTGCAGCCACTTCCCACAATCAGCCGGGGTTTTGCTCGCTGCCCCAGCCCTCTGCAGGGCTTTTCCAACCCCTTCCGGCTGGAGCGGGTGCTCACCCCGCTACACCTCCCCAGCCATTCATAGGGTTCCAGATACCTGAACAAATAGAAGGGGGAAAGGGAGGAGCTGAATTCAGTGAGACAGTAGAGAACTGACATGCTCAGAGTCACAGCCCCACAAAGCCGCTGGAAGTCCAACAAAGCTCCCAAATCACAAACTCAAGTCAAAACCAGATCTGGTGTCTGCAGCTTAGGCCTGAATCTAACTG